CAGGACCGTGCAGCTCCCCAGTCAGCTCCGTTCTGTTTACAGTGTAAGTCTCGCGAGACCCGGGTCTGTTTACAGTGTAAGTCTCGCGAGACCTGGGTCTCGCGAGATTTACACTGGGAGCAGAACGGAGCTGACCGGGGAGCTGCATGGAGGAGAAGGGAGCTGACAGGAGCTGCAGGAAGGTAAGTAACAGCTCACTGTCAGCCCCCAACAGGACCACCGGGCTTGTAATGAGCCCGGCGGTCCTGGTCTGTATTGTGGCAATGTAATACAGACTGACTCGAGTATAAGCCGAGTTGGGGTTTTTCAGCACAAAAAATGTGCTGAAAAACTCAGCTTATACTCGAGTATATATGGTATGTCATCAGTGTGCACTGCATGATGGTAACAGACGTAATAATCTTCTCCTTGCAGGCAGAGCACCTCCCACTCAGTGAGCGCTCCCTCCCTTTATCCCTCCACCTCCCCACCTCCTCTGCCTCCCTCACCAGTTTTGGGCAAGTGCATGCCCTCTGAGCAGGCAATAGGACCAATCACAGGCTTCTCATTGGACCGTGCAACGCCCCTGTGGCATGAGAATGGTGTGTGGAAGTCAGCGCCGTGAACTTCACCCGACGCTGGATTCTAGGTGAGTAAAAACCTTCTTTTTTACAGGTTATTCTGCAAAGTGTTAAAGTGGCACTTTAAATATAGAAAAAAGTAAACATAATATTAAAAAATCCTCGGATGTGACAGCTCTCCTTTAACCACTTCATTACCTAAATGGGTATAAATGTTTTTATTTTCATGTATTTTGTAGGTAAGACTACCAGCCTGTAGAGGAATGAAATAAGCCACCAGTCACTGATATAATGCCTGTAGAATGCTGAAAAGGTAAGCACACCCCCTGCTTTGAAACAGTACAGGAGGTTTCCATAGGTAATATCATATCTACAGTCATGAAGGAGGGGAAGAGCAGTGAATGGACTCTACAATTTCACTATGAGCATTACATTAGCATTCCAAAGATTTATAAAGATTGCTATTGCAGTTTTAAAAAACCTTTATTCAAGAAACATATCATTTAATTGTAGTTACTGTATGTGGGTATTATTAATGAATGCGGTCATTTATTTTAAATGTTTACTTGTTTACTGACCTATTATGCTATACCTGTGTGAAAAATTGCAAGATAAAGGACACTATATATTGTCTAATGCTTTTTTCCCCCAAATATTTTTTTAAAAAGAATGAACGAATAAGTGTAAAAAATATATTGTGTTAATTTACATGATTTAATATTTTATATTTTCAAGGCAATATACGCAATATTGCTGCTTTATGATATGTGTATATGCTACCCTTGCTTCAAATACATGTTATACTGATTATTTTTCAATCAAAAAGTGCTCTGTAGTGAACAGGGTCAATAAATCTTAAGAATTGATGAGCTATTGCACGTACAGTTATTTTCTTGAGTTTTATTTATTTTTTTTGAAAATTAGTTTATTTATTTGCAGGTTCAGCATATGTAGAGTAGTGAGACTCGCAGGTCTAGTCATATATGTAGTAAAAACATAACGTTAATAAGGAAAACTGGTGATCCAAGAGAAAACCATAAATCTTGCAGGCCCTTTGATCTGCTTGCTTACGGGATGAGTGGACACGCAGGTCCGCCTTGACTTTCCGAAAAGTGGATCTAGGTACTCTCACCCCACAAAAGGGAACATATTTGCTTAATTCTTTTATAACATTGAAGAACTCCAGTTAGCAATCATAAGTGGGGCTTGACATAACATGTAACTGGTATTCAGTGCTCGGGTCTAGAGTTTCCCCGTGACTGTTACCTATGGCAGAGCTCGTGTGGCGTACGGAAGTCCCTGCCCCCAATTGTGGTGCCCGGTTCCCTGTATCCGGTCACTGTGTGGTAATTGTCGTAGTTCTATTTAGCATGAATGTTATTCTTGTACGTGAGAAAGACGAGTTATGTGTCTATCTAACTGCCAGATTTTCAACATGTTTGCTATATTCCCGTCTAAACGCCGGGTATCTAAACCACAGAGTATCCTGGGTATCCGCGCCTTGTTTAAATCTCTGTGTGTTTGTTAGTATCCCTCTGTAACTGTACGTTTGTTCATCCCTATTACCCTTCTGGTGTATTGTGTGATTTGTTTGTCTCGTAATCAATCCATCCGGCCTCGATCCCAATCTCCCCGGGCTCTGGTATGCAAATAGAAGGGGTAAGGAAGAGGTTAGAAACAGGAGGTAGTGGCGGTCAAGCCACTTGGGGTGTGATCCCTCCAGCAAGGCTCGCCCCAGCCTGCGCCCCCACACGTCTCCATCCCCACGGTAACGGGAAATGTATAAGAACCACGGCGTCCACATCTCCGCATGCCTGGTTCCTCGTCCCGTCAGGGTAGCATGTGCTTCTTCTGCTCCCTGGATCTCTTCTACTCTACGGATCCACTCTTTTTTGGTAGGAATTTCACTTTTTTTCCAGTGGGCTGGAATGTTGGCCTTGGCGGCATTAAGCAGGTGTCGTAATATCGATTTCTTGTATGACGATATGGATTGTGTCGAGATGTGTAGCAATGCCAATTCTGCGTTCCACTCCGATAAGTCTCCCAGGATGAGCACAACTGTTTCCCTAATCATTTCCCAGTATGGGATGATAGCTCTGCACTCCCATCAGATGTGTAGCACTGTGCCGCGTGTTTCCTGGCACCTCCAGCACACCGGGGGAATTGAGGGGAATATGCGGTGCAGGAAAATTGGTGTTCTATACCATAAGGAGATCAGTTTGTAGTTAATTTCCTGGTAGTATGAGCTCATAGAGCTCTTATGCTGCCAGAGCAACGCCGTGTCCCATTGTTGTATTGTGAGTGATATTCCAAGTTGTTCTTCCCATTGCCGTTTGAACGTTGTAGCCGTAGGTGTGCCTCCGATTAGTAGATGTTGATATAGTGCCGAAATTGCGTGTTCTATTGTGGTGCCTCAGTCGCAGAGGCCTTCAAACCACGTGAGGTCCCTGTGCAATCGATCTTTGTGTGATTGCGAATCGTAAAAATGTTTCAATTGTAGATATCTAAATTGGAGGAGAGGGGTCTGCAGTCTGTCACCCAACATTGAAGGAATGTCCCACAGTCTCCCGTCTTCGAGGGCCTTATGTATGGGTATGTATGCCCCAGTGTCATGGATGGGCAATGATCCAGGAGGAATTCCCCCCCCATGACAGTGTTATGCGTGATCGGTATCATTGGGCTGGGCATGGGGGATACGTGGTCTTGTGTTCTCAGCGTTTTCCAATCATGTAGGGTCTGTAGGATTAGTCCTTCCTCAGAAAGATGAGTTGGCGATCTTCCAGGGCCTCCCCAGATCTTCGCCTCCATCGTTGGCCTGATGAGACCCCTGTCGAGCTCCACCCATTGTTTAGTCTTCTGTGCTAAGTGCCAATCCAATACACGCTGCATGATCGTGGCCTGGTGGTATTTCCTAAAATCTGGTAATGCTAGCCCCCCCGTAAAGTCTAGGTCGGCAAATGATGTCGTATCGAATCCTGGATCGTCCTCCCCGCCAGATGAATTTGATCACCGCCGTTTTCAGGGCGGAAAAGAAAGCCGACGGTATTGTGAGCGGTATAGTCTGCATGAGATATACGATCCTCGGGAGAATATTCATTTTGATCACCGCAATCCTCCCATGCCATGTTATGTGTGGATAAGACCATCTGGACAGGTCCGCGAGTACGTTCTTTAGTAAGGGCATAATATTATGTTGATATATGTCCCCCGGGGTCGTGGTCACCCAGATGCCCAGGTATTTCATCTTGTCGCGGCACCAGTGGAACGCAAATTCCGATTCCAAAGACCGGTACTCATCTGTGGGGAGTGTAAAATTCGGGACCTCACATTTCAAAATGTTAAGCTTAAATCCAGAAATCTGCCCGAATCTGTCAAATTCGGAGAGGAGACACGGTATTGTGATCCTGGGGTTGCGGACAAAGAAAAGGAGATCATCTGCGTACGCAGCCACTTTATGTTGTACTCCCTGCCAATCATATCCCTGTATGTCCGGATTTTGGCGAATTGCCTGTAGCAGTGGCTCCAGGGTCAGCGCAAACAGCAATGGTGAAAGTGGGCATCCCTGTCGGGTCCCGTTGTTTATCGCGAAGTCCGCGGTCGTGGCCCCATTAATCCTCATGGATGCGCGTGGTTTGCTATAAATGGCAGATATCCACATAAGGAGTCTCTGACCGCAGCCTAGCCGTCTCAGTGTTGCCATCATATATGCCCAGTTGACCCGGTCAAATGCTTTTTCCGCATCTGTGGATAGCAGGAGCAACCGGGTCCCCAATTTCCTCGCGTGGTGTTGTATAGAGAAAAGTCGTAGGGTGCTGTCCCTAGCTTCCTGACCTGGGATGAATCCCGTCTGGTCTGCGTGTATCAAGTCGGGGAGGAGATGTTTCATTTTGGTTGCTAGAACTTTCGTGAATAGTTTAGCGTCAACATTTAGCAGTGAGATCGGTCAGTAACTGCTGCAGTGGAGCGGGTCCTTCCCTGGTTTAAGTAAGACTGTGATAGTGGCTGCTAGGGATTCCCCACCCAGGTTCCCTCCTTCACCTACCGCGTTGAGAGCCTTAGTGAGCTAAGGCAGCAATACTCCTGAGAAGTTTTTATAATACCCCGTGGAAAAACCATCCGGGCCAGAAGCCTTGCCGGTTTTAGATGACTTAAGGGCTGCAGCTAATTCTTCCACGGTGATCGGTGTGTCCAACAGTGTTGCCGAGTCCTGATTGATCGTGTTTGTGACTGTGTTGGAGAGAAAGTCCTGTATTTTTTCGTGTTCTCTCGTGGCCTCAGTGACCCCTTTAGGCGCGTATAAATTATAGAGGTGCTCGTAGAAAGACCTGAACTCCCCTGCAATTTTCTGCGGGAAGGGAGAGAACTCCCCTGAGGTCAGGTGAATCCTACGTATTTGTCTATGGGGCAAGGGGCCTTTTAGTAGTCTCGCCAGGTACTTACCTCCTTTATTGGCGTGTATGTAGTAAAAGCCTTTCGTGCATTGTACGGATTGGAGATGTCTTTTCAAAATAAGGTCTTTGAGTTTTCTTCTGTGTTCCATTAATTCTCCGTAAACTGCGTTGAGTTGGGAGCGTTTGTGTTGGCGCTCCAGGGTTGATATCGATTGATATAAATCGACCATTTCATGCATGAATGCCTTCCGTTTCCGGGAGGCAATACGTATGAGTACTCCACGTATCACACTCTTGTGGGCTTCCCATATGGATATTGGGGAGGTCTCCAGGGAGTCATTTTCCCTAAAGTATTGTTCTAATGCTTGTTGAGTTTGTTCCTTGATGTCCAGGTCTAGCAGTAGAGCTTCATTAAGTCGCCAGGTCCATGTCGTCGGTCTGTACAGGGGTGAATCCAGTTCTATCTCGACCGATCCATGGTCCGACCAAGTGCCTGTCTTGAGTTTTATTTTGTCCTATAATAAAACAATAGAGGTACATTTTTTTCCATATAGTAATTTAATTTTTAAATATATATGAGTCATTTCAATATAATTCTCACTTATAGTCAGAGAATGAAACAGAATTACTTAACAGGTGGGTATGTACAACTTAAATGCCCTTTCTTTTGCTGTTGTATGCTCCTTGTGCAGTTAAAAAGAACAGACATTACTGAAGAAAATATTTATTTGATTATCATTGCCATGAGAAATGTAATAAGTAAAAAAAGTATAAAAGTCTTTTTAAACTTTTGAACTCACACTACGACATTGACACAAGAATTCTTAAGATGTTAATTTTAGGAATCTCCATGGGTCCTGACCGTATTGCTTGGTCTACGGTTGTCAACACTGCCCCAAAAAAACAAAACAAAACAGGACACATCTACACTTCTTTCCCTAGTCAAGTCATCTAGGGGTTCCTACAAATTTTAAGTGATGCTTATATGATATAGATCATGAAATACGCTAATAGAAAAAGGTTGTGCTGTAATCCAGAACCACAAAAAGAACAGCAATGACGTTTTTGGTCGCATTTACAGACAGATGTTTAAAGACTATACTGAAAGTGGAAAATGATTGATAAATCTGTTGACTGAAAAGAATGCTAAGAAGGAGATACAGGCTGTGAGGTGTCTGCATTTTTGGGAATTTTTACATTTTGTTCACAATTTGTAACCTCTTCTTTTATTGTAGGTAAAACTTTCAAGAATTGGTTCTTCTTAATTATCTCAGTCTCCAGGCGCACAGACAATGTTGCCTCAACTGGTGTACGGAAAAAAAATATGTAATGTCTAGCAGGCATTAGCTGATCCCAAAAGCCAAAAGTTCAGTGGATGGCCCATCAAGATCTACTTCATATATCAGCATTCCACTAGAACTGGCCAAGCCCCAGCCTCTGATTAATACATTAACAAGTAGAGTAGACAGAATAGACGCTACGTGAGAAGAAGAAAATAACAGAACTAGATTGCCCATATCCATGATCAGGAATGGGTGGTCTGGCCAGACAAAGGGACATAACACAGAAATGTAAGCAACAACTTAAGTTGTTATGAAAAACTCGGAAAACAATGAATGTGGCCTGGTTCCAGGCTGGACCAAAACAAGATTAGCAGCGAATCGTAATTCATTTGGAACTGAATGCTTATGTCTAGTACCTTATAGACTTATGGTACTGGACAACATATGAACTTTTAAATAAAAAATTTTAAAGATAAAGTTAAAGGACCACTATAGTCACCCAGACTACATCAGCTCAATGCAGGTGGTCTGGGTGCCAGGTCCCCCAGGTTTTAACCCTTCAGAGAAACTGCTATGTTTCCAGCCTCTAGTGGTTGTCTTCCTGACAGCCGCTAGAGGCGCTTCCCCGACGCTCAATGCGAAAATCGCATTGAGCACGCAGAACATGCATAGGAAAGCACTGAGAAACGTAGTAACCCTATAGTGCCAGGAAAAGGAGTTTGTTTTCCTGACACTATGGTGGTCCTTTAACAAATGAAGCGTAATCCAGAGGAAATATCCATGAATGAATAGCAAGCACTGCATTTATAGAGAAAGGAGGTGGGGAAAAATAAACCGGAGAGTCAGAAGGAAAAGAAAAAAAAACAATAAATAATACTATAAAGTTCTATAACATAAATATGAATATCTAATGAAGGTCTAGTAATGTGCTATTATATTCCAAACATAAGTCGATGCACTATCTTTGTGACCCGTCTACATGACACCACTTTACAGCACACACTCATGAGTAATCCCCAGAGACATGAGACATTCCCCAGAAATCTATAGATTAACAAACCCATTTATTACCTTAGAGGACAACCCACACATTAACCTGGCACACAAGAATATTACGGTAATGCCCCCTCTATCCACTACGCCCCCACAACCCTATGTCAAAATTGGACATTAGACAAATATCAATTGTTCCTTTACACTTACTAGATTTTTATGCGTTTATCCAAACATTTGGTAGAGTATGGCAGCTACCGTTGGTAAGGGACCTTCTGAGAGTTGTCACTATGCTTAGTGTGGCGATGCAATCTAACATACTTACTGTAGGATTAAATGTTCGGGCACCGTGGAAGGAGAGATCCTGGAACAAATATCAGGTAGGCCTGATTCCTGGCAGGTTTACCTAATCTTTCTCTATTCTGAAGAAAATAAAATGAGTGCAAATTTAATTGGTCGAGTACAGTAAATGAGCATCGAAGTGCTCCCCACTTAGAACAGAAGATGCCATGCTCTGATATACTTACTTTTATTTCTAAGCAAGATAGTGTTTCTTCGTGTTACATTCAAAAGTCCATTCTCTGAGAGAATCTGATGTTTTTTTACATAATTAAATTGATAGGCCTTAAAAAAATAAAAATAAATTGCCATTAAACTTATCTTATTCCAGTGTCAGCCCAGACTCCCTCAGCCTGATCCACCTCTAGTGAACTCATCAAGAACTATGACTTTTACCCAATCTAATGTTTCTCATATAGAAGCACTGACATGTGTTGCTGTGTTCCTCTAACGAGATAAGAATTGGAAACAAATGTCTGACAGCAAGATATTCTACATGTTAATGCTGGATTCCAAACAAATTCAGAGTTTCATCTATGGGCTTCCTATCTGAGAGTACAAATAGCAAAATGTTAAAAGTCCCTTTTACTCAGAAATCTTCTCTATTTTAATTTTTATGGCTGCATTAAGATGAAGTGATTTGTGTGCTTAAGTTGTCTCTTTAAACAAACTGAGAACTTTGAGACAATAATGTTTTTTTGTGTGTGTGTAATATAATATGTTCCTTGTCCCGTACTCCTTAGCCACATAAAATCATCAAAGCATTTCAATAATAATAAAAAAAAAACTGCATTGCACATATTTAACACTAGGGGTCAGTAAGTCTCTGTCCTTTCATCATATGTACATGCATTGTTGCTCATTAATATTAGATAGGTCTATCATTCACTAAGCTAAAAGTTTCACTAGAATAGTCTAAATCCATGTATCATACATTAATGCTGCATTCACGAATACAGAACTAATGCCTGGTGCTCAGGATTGCAAATGAAAAACTAATACAAAGGAAAGTACATCTATTTATCTATCTATTTATCTATCGTTTGTAATAATCAGTTTGGTTTTATAGAAGTATTAAATACAGAAGATGAAACTTCAAATAGGATAGGATAATGGTATTTGCAAATATTGGGTGTAGTAGTATGAATATGGAGTTAATGAGACAGTATTGAATTAATCAATTAGTAGGGATGTGCATGGGCAAAAAATTTGGTTCGGTTCGGCACTACTGAAATTTGGGACTTCAGCAATTCGGTTCGGTTCAGCACTTCCGAAATTCGGGACTTCAGCAATTCAGTTTGGCACTTCCGAAATTTGGGACTTTGGTAATTCGGCACTTTGGCAATACCCTAAGCCTAACCCTAACCCTAACCTAACCTGCGTGGCGCTGTAATTCTCGGTTGGGCTCCTGCGAGATATAGTGTCATCTTGCAGGAAAGTGATGTTGGTTCCAGGAGTGTAGCAGCGCCCTCCCAGAGTAAGTAGTAAGTAGTAAAAAACAGTTTGATAACTTATCTGGGGTCTGCTGGGATAGGGGCAGTAGTGTGTATGTGTGTGAGTGGTGCAGTGTTTGTATGGGGGGCAGTGTGTGTGTATGGGGAGACAGTGCGTGTGTGAGAGGGGTGCAGTGTATGGATGGAAAAACAAAGTGTATATTGGGAGCAGTGTGTTTGTGTGTGAGGGGTGTATTGTGTGTATGAAGGGGTGCAGTGTGTGTATTGGGAGCAGTGTGTTTGTGTGTGAGTGACACAGTGTGTGTAAGGGGGGTAGTGTGTTTTTGTGTGAGGGGTGCAGTGGGTGTGGGGGTGCAGTGTGTGTATGGGGGTACATTGTATTGGGAGCTGTGTTTATTGGGGGCTGTGTGTACATGGGGTTAGTGTGTGTATGGGGGGCAGTGTGTGTACTAGGGGCAGTGTGTGTATTGGGGGCAGTGTGTGTAAGGGGAAGCAGGGTGTCAATTGGGGTCTATGTGTGTAAGGGGGCAGTGTGTGTATTGGGGGTTGTGTGTGTATTGGGGGTTGTGTATGTGTATTGGGGCATTGTGTGCATTGGGGCACTATGTGTAAGGGGGGCAGTGTGTGTATTGTGGTTGTGTGTGTGTAAGGGGGGGCAGTGTGTGTATTGGGGGCAGTGTGGGTATTGGGGGTTGTGTGTGTAAGGTGGAGCAGTGTGTGTATTGGGGGTTGTCTAAGGGGGCAGTGTGTGTGTGTTTTGGGGGCTGTGTGTTTGTGTGTGGTGCAGTGTGTATGGAGTTATAGTTTGTGTGAGTTGGTAGTGGGCAGATTAAAGATAATATATGTTTTGTAAGTTTTTGTTGTATTTTTTATTATTAAATAAATATAGTTAATGCCCCACCTCCCTTCTTATATAAGGCATGGGAGGGGGGACAGTGCTTTCATTCCCTGGTGGTTCTGGTGGTGAGAGTGAACTCTAGCCTGCAGCTCAGACTAGCGTTCACTCTTGCGAGAACGGATGGTTGCCATGGTAACCGTGGCAACACTCCGTGCTTGCGAGAGGAGATCCCGGCGGAGCTGCAGGTAAGAGCTCCCCGGGGGTTCCCTCTCCCTCTCCTGTCGGCTGCCAGCAACATGAAGGCAAACAGCAGGGCTCGCACT